AAGGATCCCTAACTCTCGCTATAAGAGGTTGTAGATAGGCAGTTAGGGAGGGTCCTTGCCCTCCTTAAGGTTAATAGCGTAGTCGTATTGCGAGTGTTATGYAATAACCCYAGCTAGCTCTAGACTAAACACATCCGCCTAGTCTATGTATTTAGGGGGGATTTCCCCTATCTCGGCTTCCTTAGTAGCAGCGACAGTAAGCATCTCCTGGTATACTTGTCGAGGTAGCTCTTAAAGCTCTTCGTGCCCGGCGTAGGCAGCCTTATACCGCTCGTAGTATAAGAGGGCTACGATCCACTATTCCTTTCGACAGTTTGGATTAATAGTAGTTGGGTCTTAATTAGGGTTATAGACCGCGTAGGGCCCTATAGGCTTACCGATAGTAGCATTGCGGGGGTCCTACGGTACCTCTACGGCAGCATCGCCGTTTAAGGGTTTTTCTTCCTCTACTATTGCCCTAATTAGGTAGCTTTAGTCTCCTATTTAGAATGCCGCTATACCGTCGATAAGGGTTTAAAGTAGGCGGTTTATAGGAAGTTCGGGAACCGTAGGGACATTATTATTAGAGGGCTTAGGCCCTAGGTCTCCCTACACAAACGTTCCTTTTCTAAAACTAATTAAGGGGTCGGTAGCATTAAGCTAATCCCATCCTAAGACYATATCGTAGCTAGTAAATAACCCTRCCTAGAAGGTCTGCCGCGTAACCTTTRCGGTACCTTCGCGGTCCGCTATAGAGACGTCYAGCTAATAAGCTTTRTAGATGTCTATAGGGTRGTTATTTAGGAACCTAACTTTAGGTTTTAGAAGGTCTACGGCAGGCAACTAAAGGAGCTRTRYAACGTATTRTAAAATRAGATTAAGCTGCGCCCCGYAGTTAACGAGAGCCCTTAGGACCTTCTTCTGCCCTRTTAGTAGGGTTTAGAGGAYATTAAYAACGATRCGTCGCTCCTTCCCCTTTRTTTAATTCCCTAGCCGTAGTAAGGAGAGGGATACGACTAGGGTCTCCTATTTCCCGACCCTAGAGGGTAAGAGTTCGGGCCGGCTAGCGGCGTAGGAGGATCTAAAGGACTTTAAGTAAAGGTTTRGGAGTAGTAGCCCCGTCCCCTTCCTCTRCCTCTCCCTCTTAAGTTRCTRCTTTRCCCGYRATTGCCCTACGAAGGTGCCGTAGAGCTACCGCTAGGCCTAATTAGGGGTTTCTTRTCTTCTAGGGTTTTCTTCGGTCCCCTCTCCCTATCTCTTCCTTTAGGATAYAGGTRGTTCTTAATAAGAATAGCTGCATTAAAGAGATCCTYRGCTRTCTTCGACTCCGCAAGCTTGTTAGCTTCTAGGAGTTTGTCTTAAACGTCCTTCTRCAACYRTAAGAAGTAGAACCCGATRCGGTTCTCTATCTCCTCCTCGTTGTTTATAGGGGAGACTTTTAGCCTTAATTCCYAGTTAATAAGGTAGGACTAGAACTAGCCTACGGTTTAGTTRTTACGTTAGCTRYAGTTCTAGTACGTTCGGTGTATTAAGGCATRCTATAATACCTTAGGGAGGATTGYATCTRCAATAATTGTYTAAGCATCCTCCTATRTTATRAMTTYATAGTTACTRCGCTAGCGTAYAAGGGCGTTAGTAATCTCCTTCTCGGTAATTTTAGAGGTTGCCTAYATACTACGGCGRTRYTAGTTAGAGAGGCTTATRTTAGGGTRGTCCTAATTAGAGCAGCGAGTAACCGTAAAACGGCTTTCGTAGTCGCGGACCTACTAGAGATACTTCTGTTAGTTTAGAGAGTCTAGTACGGGAGGGTCGCGTTTTGCTAGTTCGCGGAGGACGTCCTACGAAGGTACCTCTACGGTACCTTTACGGTAGCTTCGGTCTTCCGCGTAACTCCTAAGAGATTCTTATCTCTTTCTTTTATTAGAGCTTGCCTCTTAATACTTAGATCGCTAGGCGACGAGTAGTTCTAGCCTCTACATCTAATCGATCGAGGCTTCGATAGGGTCTATAGCCTACAGAGTAGTAATTATACGGTATAGGTTATAAGGGACACTATTATTATTAATGCCCTCCTTAATAGATGGTTCTTTTTATAATGTGGTGTCTAGAGGAGGGTTTTCTTCTCTAGGAGGTTCGCGGCTGCCTTGCGGTGCCTTTACGGTACCTCCGTCTAGCTTAAGCTAATCCTCTAGTCTAGCGCTGCTACTAGGCGTTACATCTTCCTCATCGATAATAAACCCTAGGGGATTATTAGCCTCGGTACGTTTAGGTCGTACGGCTCTTTTTCCTGCTAAAGACATTTTCGATAGGTTAGTAGGGATCTATAGAGCCGTTRCGGTAGCTTTGTAGTAGCGCTAGACTCGAATCGAGAGCTTGTTTCGTACTTAAGACGGCTRTTCCCTAGTAGGGATGTAAGGCAATATTCTATAAGGGTGTTGTAAACAGGGGGTCTTAATACTAAGCAGTAATTCTTAGATATGTACGATATTGCCTAGGGAGCGAAAGGGAACAGGTAACGAGGACATTGCCCTTTTATAGGATTGCGCCCGGTGCTAGTTAGGCTCGGCGGT